CTCAAAAAAACTATGAAAGTTAGTTTAGCAGACATTTTTGATTTCGCGTCCGAAGAGGATCGGGAAGAGTTCATTGAAAAACTGCTATCGGATCCAGAAAACAAAACCATCGCAAAGAAAGCATTCGCCAATATTGGCCTATATGCATATGAGCATGTTGTCAGGATCTCATTCAAAACTCAAAAAGAAAACGTTTACTTCGGCAAAATCCCGGTTGCGTTTGCGTATTGGACCAAACTTGCCATTTCTGCAGAGGACAATAGCGTGTTTAACGACGAAATTATATACGACGTAAAAACTTTGTTGTACAGTCTCCTGCCAGGTGAAAAAGTGCCTCGAGAATTTAATACTCCTCTCGAAATAAGCCCAGATAATTTCAACATTGCAAATTGGCCTTACTGTCCGAAAAAAATACTGTGGGTTGGTGCAACGCAAGAAGAACTGTCTCGGTCAATTTTGGATGCTCTTGAAGTGATTTCTGAAGACAGTGCAGTTTGTTTTTCATCAGATGGACGCGATGCTTTGAAAACAGACACTTTACTTTTCCAAAATCTAATAAGTTCACTTTATCTGGCCAAGCAATTCATCAACAAGAATTTCGATATCGGTAATATAACGAAACCCGAACTTGACTCGGAGATCTTCGCGGAATATTTGATAACCTTTGGGGGCGTGAGCTACATAAGCGATGTTGATATTTCAACCACGTCGTGGTGGCACAATAATAAAGACCCAAAAAGCAGTGGACTTTATCAACGCGCAATGATGCTGTGGGAAACAGCGCAAGAGTCAAATAAAAACACCAAGTTCGAGTTCACTTTTGTAACGCGACTTCAACTAATTTCTTACGAAGGCCTGACCGAAGTGCATGCTGATAGTTTATTCGCGACAAAATGTGCAGAAATAAACAATGATTATGAGGACATTTCAGGCTTTGGTAATTTGACGGATCCAATTTTCCTGAACAAAATTCTGTTCCACAGCAACGAAGATGAAACCAGAAAAGCTCCTTATGCAATCCAAGGTCAAATTATGGGCAGAGGTCAATTTATTGAGAGATTTGTCCCGCAGTCGGACATTTTTTCAAGCTATGAACAAGTTTTTGTCCTGGACGAAGGAGCTTATATCGTCGCATTCAATTTACCGGACAATGACAAGTCAAAGGACACAATCCAAGTGGGGGATCACTTTTCAAAAAGCAACGGTTGTTTGCTAGCTGATTTGGTGAAACATAAAATATACAAGAAACACAGAAATGTGAACAACTACTGCTCGTGTATCATGATCGAAGAAGATGAAGAGAAATCTCCTTCTCGCAGGCCGACGAGCATGTTCACTTTAGCTGAATTGGTGAAAAAATTGTTCTCATTGTGTACCGGATGTCTCGCTGCTTTCAGGTAAATGGTTTTAGATTATGACATACAATCAGCTTTAAAAAAAATGCTGACAGAATTTTAAAAAGATCACGGGAGCGCCTCTGTTTTTGGAGAAAATAAATTGCAATTCGCCCTGGTTTCAGAACTATTTTCATAAGAGGGACAATAATTTCAAAGTGAAACAGGGATAGCCAGTTACTGTGCAAGTACCACACAATGTTCCGAACATATTCTTATACATACAAAAAAAATTTCAAATTAGTGTTGTTTTTGCGCGTGGTGTGATTAAAGGATCTGAAGAAAACCTGAAATTTAGGTATAATCGACCGTCACAGTAAAAAAGGCAAATTGGGCATTGGATTTTGTCGAAAAATGACTAGAAAAAAACAAACAAAGTTCACAGAAAAAAAAATTTTTAGCAAAAATTTTTTGGATTTTTGAGTTTTTTTTCAAAAAATGGCGCCAGAAAAATTTCAAAAAATAATTCACTTGAGTTTCATGGCTTATACTTTTATAATAAGCCTGCTCGCTGGCTTTAACCCTTCAAAATTAGACTAAAGCTCAAATTTCGAACCGGTTTTGCTCAACACTGGGGCAATTTTTATAAATCACTCAACCCATTCCGATTATCATTTGTGCTATTTGTTTTGTATGAAAAACAACATAAGACTGCTCGCTCACCCTATTCGCTCGAAATTAGACTAAAAATCATAAGTTTCAAACAAAATTTCGTTTCTAAGTTTTTAACGTCAATCGAATCAAGATTGGAAGGGTTTTGATATGATGTATCACTCGACTCATTCCGATGACTATTTGTGGTATCTGATTTTGAGTGGAAAACAAAAAAAAAGAACAAAACTGAAAACACACCCGAATACAAATTCCCCCCCCCCCCCCATTAGTCAAATGTTCCAAGCAATGAGCCGGAAAAAGTATCAAATTATAACCATTGACTGGGTCAAGTTGTTTTAAGCAATTCATTCATACCGTCACGGGACATAGAAGTTACAACTTTTAGTTATCAAGCGTTGAATAGAAGGAATTTTTTTACATATTCATTGTTAAAAATTAGACATCTGATAGATGAAACACTTTTTTTTTACTACCGCGCGATGAAAAACAAGGCTATGATGTTTCAAGTCATTGCTGGGCATTTAGCTGGAGAACATAAGATAGCTCTTCTTAGTGTTAAAAAATCCCTGTAAACTGCAGAAGTAGTTTGAAACTTTGGACTTAGTTATTCGTTGGAAAACTTAAAATGCAAACTAGTTCCTCATACAAGTTGCCTTGAACAAATACCAAGTACTGAAATAAATAATTAGAATCCAGTATAGAAGAATTAGATTTGATTAATTCCCCTTGAAGATGATAGCTGAGGGTTTTGTGATTTGGACTAATTTGCAATTTTGTTCAAGTACATAAATCACATCTAATGTTTTTCAGCAAATTGGCAATTTTATAATGTTCAAACGCGGCGTTTTACAAAACAAATTATTGCAGATGCACATTTTTTTTAACATCCACCTGCGAGGATCGATAAATTAAGATACGTAAAAAAATTATATCTCAAAGACTTATTGCGAAAAATTTTGCACCAAATAATGATCTAAGATGAACGACTTTGGATGAAAAAGTGGAGTCAGTAAACTACAATACAAAATCAAGTTTGCTTGTACAGTCACGGGAAGTATAAATTGCAACTTTTAGTTTTGAACGTCGTTTTTTTATCACGGGTTTTTTTCGCGTCGTTTTGTTGTTTTACCAGAAAGAGTCAAACAAAATTCCCCTTAAACAAGGCAAGCAGTATGAAATTTTGACTTAAACTTTTTTGATGGAAAGTCAAGGAGCCAAGCTCGGCTATTATATAAGTTTTTCATAACTTGAAAATACATAATAACACAACTGCTCGATTCAAGATGAAGCTGTGAGTGTTTTGACTGCCGTTTAAAGTCTATGGTGTCGTGTTTGCGTTCAAAAAACTATAATTTTTTCAAACCAAAAAGCAATAAAAATATGAAATAATTTTCTTTTGAAAATCATCACCCCAACCGTTATTTGAAATACAAAATGATTTCAAAGTATCAAATAGACCAAAAAGCATGAGTCAATTATTTTAGAACGATTTCTTAGATAGAGTAAATCACTGCTTACGCTTAATTAGCAAATATATCGCGCGTTTATTGCCCCAAATTCTCAATCTCTAAACCCATATAACATTACGTAAAATGATCACAAATAAAATGTTAATTTAATTAAAGCCCAAGACAACAAGACGGCTCTAATGATAATTTAAAGTTCTGTTAAAAATTGCTAGTTAAAACACCGAAGTTTGTTAAAAAAATTCAAATACTTACATTACTTTCTCTTAAAGTTGGAACAAAAACTACTCAGCTACGAAGAAATGTTGACTCAGTTTCTGTCATTTCATTGATCAAATTGCTGATTTTTAATCAATTTTAGACTAAAAAGTTGATTAAGTTTTTAAATCTCGTTCATGCGAAAAAACTTTTTGGCACTAAGAAGAGATATCTGGCATCTTCTGGTTAATTAGCTAAACGAGGCCTTGAAACTATTTTTCGTAGCGTTTTTTTTTGACCGGCTACATTCGAATAGTTTGGTCCATCAGATGTCAAAACTTCAACCGTGAAAAGGTAGTAGTTGTCGAGAAAGCGGCAGAAACACAAAAAAATTCATTCAGTTCATCGCCTGAAAACTAAAAGTAAAAGTTGCAACTTCTACACAGAGACGAAGCTTAAAGTAAAAATTGAAGTTGCACTTTATACACAGAGACTAAGCTTCGCTTTGAAAAAACCAGCGAGATCACGACAAAAAGCTGCTCCATAAAGTACAATTAGAAAAAATAGAAGTAAGACTCGAATTAGTTAAAATTCGGCTACGCTTCGGAATCGAACCTGCTACCTACTGCTACGAAAATTTATGAGTCTCACGCACTAACCGCTCAGCCACCGACGCTTATTTAATACCAAGCCTTAGCCACGCATAAAGCAGAGAACAGCTGCTATGCAACTTCCTATGCTACAGCGAAATTTTCATATAAAAGAACAATTTTCAATGAACACTTTTATTTGCGAGTTAAGGTTTAAAAAAGGGATTCGTACTAATACACTAGCTTCTGGCTAGTGTAAAAACCCGTGACTGTATTATAAGTAATCTAATTGGAAAAAATTGACTGAAAGGTATTTTATGTTTCTGCTTCTTCAACCCATTCATTTTTGAGTATGATCGACAAACTACAATCGCGCTAAGCAAACATTTACAATTTTTGTTTTTCATTTTGAACGTTAGATGAGTTTGAATCTATAAAGAAACCAAAGTTCAAATGTCACATAAAAAAAGATTTTTCCTGGATAAACAAAAAACTCACCATTAGTCAAATGTTCCAAGCAATGAGCCGGAAAAAGTATCAAATTATAACCATTGACTGGGTCAAGTTGTTTTAAGCAATTCATTCATACCGTCACGGGACATAGAAGTTACAACTTTTAGTTATCAAGCGTTGAATAGAAGGATTTTTTTACATAATCATTGTTAAAAATTAGACATCTGATAGATGAAACACTTTTTTTTTTTACTACCGCGCGATGAAAAACAAGGCTATGATGTTTCAAGTCATTGCTGGGCATTTAGCTAGAGAATATAAGATAGCTGTTCTTAGTGTCAAAAAATCCCTGTTAACTGCAAAAGTAGTTTGAAACTTTGGACTTAAAGTTATTCGTTGGAAAACTTAAAATGCAAACTAGTTCCTCATACAAGTTGCCTTGAACAAATACCAAGTACTGAAATAAATAATTAGAATCCAGTATAGAAGAATTAGATTTGATTAATTCCCCTTGAAGATGATAGCTGAGGGTTTTGTGATTTGGACTAATTTGCAATTTTGTTCAAGTACATAAATCACATCTAATGTTTTTCAGCAAATTGGCAATTTTATAATGTTCAAACGCGGCGTTTTACAAAACAAATTATTGCAGATGCACATTTTTTTTAACATCCACCTGCGAGGATCGATAAATTAAGATACGTAAAAAAATTATATCTCAAAGACTTATTGCGAAAAATTTTGCACAAAATAATGATCTAAGATGAACGACTTTGGATGAAAAAGTGGACTCAGTAAACTACAATACAAAATCAAGTTTGCTTGTACAGTCACGGGAAGTATAAATTGCAACTTTTAGTTTTGAACGTCGTTTTTTTATCACGGGTTTTTTTCGCGTCGTTTTGTTGTTTTACCAGAAAGAGTCAAACAAAATTCCCCTTAAACAAGGCAAGCAGTATGAAATTTTGACTTAAACTTTTTTGATGGAAAGTCAAGGAGCCAAGCTCGGCTATTATATAAGTTTTTCATAACTTGAAAATACATAATAACACAACTGCTCGATTCAAGATGAAGCTGTGAGTGTTTTGACTGCCGTTTAAAGTCTATGGTGTCGTGTTTGCGTTCAAAAAACTATAATTTTTTCAAACCAAAAAGCAATAAAAATATGAAATAATTTTCTTTTGAAAATCATCACCCCAACCGTTATTTGAAATACAAAATGATTTCAAAGTATCAAATAGACCAAAAAGCATGAGTCAATTATTTTAGAACGATTTCTTAGATAGAGTAAATCATTGTTTATTGCCCCAAACTCTCAATCTCTAAACCCCCATAACATTGCGTAAAATGATCACAAATAAAAGGTTTATTAAATTAAAGCCCAAGACAACAAGACGGCTCTAATGATAATCTAAAGTTCTGTTAAAAATTGCTACTTAAAACGCCGAAGTTTGTTAAAAAAATTCACATACTTATATGACTTTCTCTGAAAGTTGGAACAAAAACTACCCAGCCACGAAGAAATGTTGACTCAGTTTCTGTCATTTCATTGATCAAATTGCTGTTTTTTAATCAATTATAGACTAAAAATTTGATTAAGTTTTTAAATCTCGTTCATGCTAAAAGACTTTTTGGCACTAAGAAGAGATATCTGGCATCTTCTGGTTATTTAGCTAAACGAGGCCTTGAAACTATTTTTCTTAGCGTTTTTTTTGACCGTCTACATTCGAACAAATAATTTGATCCATCAGATGTCAAAACTTCAACCGTGAAAAGGTAGTAGTTGTCGAGAAAGCGGCAGGAACACAAAAAAATTCATTCAGTTCATCGACTGAAACCTTAAAGTAAAAGTTGCAACTTCTACACAGAGACGAAGCTTAAAGTAAAAATTGAAGTTGCACTTTATACACAGAGACAAAGCTTTGCTTTGAAAAAACCAGCGAGATCACGACAAAAAGCTGCTCCATAAAGTACAATTAGAAAAAATAGAAGTAAGACTCGAATTAGTTAAAATTCGGCTACGTTTCGGAATCGAACCTGCTACCTACTGCTACCGAAAATTTATGAGTCTCACGCACTAACCGCTCAGAGAACAGCTGCTATGCAACTTCCTATGCTACAGCGAAATTTTCATATAAAAGAACAATTTTCAATGAACACTTTTATTTGCGAGTTAAGGTTTAAAAAAGGGATTCGTACTAATACACTAGCTTCTGGCTAGTGTAAAAACCCGTGACTGTATTATAAGAAATCTAATTGGAAAAAATTGACTGAAAGGTATTTTATGTTTCTGCTTCTTCAACCCATTCATTTTTGAGTATGATCGACAAACTACAATCGCGCTAACCAAACATTTACAATTTTTGTTTTTCATTTTGAACGTTAGATGAGTTTGAATCTATAAAGAAACCCAAGTTCAAATGTCACATAAAAAAAAGATTTTTCTTGGATAAACAAAAAAACTCCCCATTGGTCAAATGTTCCAAGCAATGGGCCGGGAAAAGTATCAAATTATAACCATTGACTGGGTCAAGTTGTTTTAAGCAATTCATTCATACCGTCACGGGACATAGAAGTTACAACTTTTAGTTATCAAGCGTTGAATAGAAGGAATTTTTTTACATATTCATTGTTAAAAATTAGACATCTGATAGATGAAACACTTTTTTTTACTACCGCGCGATGAAAAACAAGGCTATGATGTTTCAAGTCATTGCTGGGCATTTAGCTAGAGAACATAAGATAGCTGTTCTTAGTGTCAAAAAATCCCTGTTAACTGCAAAAGTAGTTTGAAACTTTGGACTTAAAGTTATTCGTTGGAAAACTTAAAATGCAAACTAGTTCCTCATACAAGTTGCCTTGAACAAATACCAAGTACTGAAATAAATAATTAGAATCCAGTATAGAAGAATTAGATTTGATTAATTCCCCTTGAAGATGATAGCTGAGGGTTTTGTGATTTGGACTAATTTGCAATTTTGTTCAAGTACATAAATCACATCTAATGTTTTTCAGCAAATTGGCAATTTTATAATGTTCAAACGCGGCGTTTTACAAAACAAATTATTGCAGATGCACATTTTTTTTAACATCCACCTGCGAGGATCGATAAAGTAAGATACGTAAAAAAATTATATCTCAAAGACTTATTGCGAAAAATTTTGCACAAAATAATGATCTAAGATGAACGACTTTGGATGAAAAAGTGGACTCAGTAAACTACAATACAAAATCAAGTTTGCTTGTACAGTCACGAGAAGTATAAAATGCAACTTTTAGTTTTGAACGTCGTTTTTTTATCACGGGTTTTTTTTCGCGTCGTTTTGTTGTTTTACCAGAAAGAGTCAAACAAAATTCCCCTTAAACAAGGCAAGCAGTATGAAATTTTGACTTAACCTTTTTTGATCGAAAGTCAAGGAGCTAAGCTCGGATATTATATAAGTTTTTCATAACTTGAAAATACATAATAACACAACTGCTCGATTCAAGATGAAGCTGTGAGTGTTTTGACTGCCGTTTAAAGTCTATGTTGTCGTGTTCGCGTTCAAAAAACTATAATTTTTTCAAAACAAAAACCAATAAAATATGAAATAATTTTCTTTTGAAAATCATCACCCCAACCGTTATTTGAAATACAAAATGATTTCAAAGTATCAAATAGACCAAAAAGCATGAGTCAATTATTTTAGAACGATTTCTTAGATAGAGTAAATCACTGCTTACGCTTAATCAGCAAGAAATATATCGCGCGTTAATTGCCCCAAATTCTCAATCTCTAAACCCCCATAACATTACGTAAAATCATCACAAATGAAATGTTTATTTAATTAAAGCCCAAGACAACAAGACGGCTCTAATGATAATTTAAAACTCTGTTAAAAATTGCTACTTAAAACGCCGAAGTTTGTTTAAAAATTCAAATACTTACATTACTTTCTCTGAAAGTTGGAACAAAAACTACTCAGCTACGAAGAAATGTTGACTCAGTTTCTGTCACTTCATTGATCAAATTGCTGATTTTTAATCAATTATAGACTAAAAATTTGATTAAGTTTTCAAATCTCGTTCATGCGAAAAGACTTTTTGGCACTAAGAAGAGATATCTGGCATCTTCTGGTTAATTAGCTAAACGAGGCCTTGAAACTATTTTTCTTAGCGTTTTTTTTTGACCGGCTACATTCGAATAATTTGATCCATCAGATGTCAAAACTTCAACCGTGAAAAGGTAGTAGTTGTCGAGAAAGCGGCAGAAACACAAAAAAAATTCATTCAGTTCATTGCCTGAAACCTAAAAGTAAAAGTTGCAACTTCTACACAGAGACGAAGCTTAAAGTAAAAATTGAAGTTGCACTTTATACACAGAGACAAAGCTTCGCTTTGAAAAAACCAGCGAGATCACGACAAAAAGCTGCTCCATAAAGTACAATTAGAAAAAATAGAAGTAAGACTCGAATTAGTTGAAATTCGGCTACGTTTCGGAATCGAACCTGCTACCTACTGCTACCAAAAATTTATGAGTCTCACGCACTAACCGCTCAGCCACCGACGCTTATTTAATACCAAGCCTTAGCCACGCATAAAGCAGAGAACAGCTGCTATGCAACTTCCTATGCTACAGCGAAATTTTCATATAAAAGAACAATTTTCAATGAACACTTTTATTTGCGAGTTAAGGTTTAAAAAGGGATTCGTACTAATACACTAGCTTCTGGCTAGTGTAAAACCCGTGACTGTATTATAAGTAATCTAATTGGAAAAAATTGACTGAAAGGTATTTTATGTTTCTGCTTCTTCAACCCATTCATTTTTGAGTATGATCGACAAACTACAATCGCGCTAACCAAACATTTACAATTTTTGTTTTTCATTTTGAACGTTAGATGAGTTTGAATCTATAAAGAAACCCAAGTTCAATTGTCACATAAAAAAAAGATTTTTCCTGGATAAACAAAAAAACTCAAGCCCTAAATAAATGCACTTAGTTTTTCAAAACTCAATACATGTGAGTAACATAATGACTGATGTTTTCCAATCTAAGACTACTAGTTCTTGAGTTTAAAGGTGGGAAATACTTTCCATTTCATAACTGCTACCCTAATAAAATTGACATTTGATGGGCTCAATAATTTTGAAAGCAATAACTTTATGAAATTTGATTTGAAAATTATTCCAATAAACACCATGAGAATGGAACCGAACAAAACATAGCCAATAAGAAGTTGAAGTTTTGTTTCATAAAACTCAATTAATTAAAGAAAACTAGTTCAATATGTAAATTGCTGGGAATTCTGATTTTTAGAGTCCATTTTCAAAACTAAGTCATTCATGTTTTTTTGCGCCATCTTCACTTCTGAAACTGGAGAGCGAAAATTTTTCAAACTTTTAGCCATAGTAATAGTATTGAACTTCAAACGAAATGAAAAAAAAAGACTTCAAAAAATCGAACTTGAGAGTGAACCGAACCTGAAATATAAAACAAAAAAAAACAGCAATGCCGCAATAAAGGTCTGCTGTTCGTGCATAGACATTTAATTTGATGAATAATTATTTTTCAGCTCGTCTTTTTGGCACCATCTAACCCACTCTCTATTCTACCCTCACCTACCCAGAGCGCAGGAGTACATCAGTCCCTCAATGACCCCCACGCCCTGCTCTTTCGCATTCAACAAGTACTACTTCAACAGGTGATACTACTGATGTTTTTAGTCACCAACTCTGAGGACTAACACCGAGGATGATTCGGCTCTTTTCCTCATGAATTTAACAGCCGGATCGTTTTATATACTTTGTTACGTAGCTGCAGACTCGTAGACATAACAAGCGTAAAAATCTTATTAGTGTAGTAGAATGATTTAATTATTAAACAAATCTTAGTATCATATGCAATTGACTCTATATGAAATAAATGTTTTCCCAGTTTTAATGCGGATATTTAAAGATCCCAGTTTTAATAGGGATCCCAGCTGTAATACATGGAACGACAAACTGTTTCCAAAACTTTCCCCCTTTCTGCAATTGACGCTATATGAAATGAATGTTTTCCCAGTTTTAATCAGGATATTTAAAGTTATGGAAACAAACTGTTTCCATAACTTTTTTCCAAAACTTTTTTTTACCACTTTTTATAGACTACCGACGCCAGATGACAACTACACTCCCGAGGGAACTTTTGAGTCCAGCTACCGTACTTGTGGTCCAATGAATTGCTATTGTGAGGCGAAACGCATCTACAAAGTAATCAAGTAAGTTAGGTCGTTTGAGAAATTCACAAATTAATTTCTTCAAAAAAAACCGTTTAGCTGAACAACCTTTGTAGTATGGCATGTTCGTTACTGTTAGCTAGAGGCGAAGTTTGTCTAAACATTCATGGAGTCAAGGGAGTTTTGTCGGGAAAACTTCTTCTGTCGAAGCCCAAAAACTACGTTCATAAGCTTAAAAATCAAATCTGTTTTGGACAGCTCGAAAACTCTTACTGGCTGAAAATTTGGGCATGTTTAGCTGTACCTTGACAACCATAATAACGGCATAAAAAGGGTCTCTTTAACTATTTCCCACCTTTTGCAAAAGGTAGGCAAATTGAAATTTGATTTGAACCATTGAAATTATTTCTTTATAAGGGTGGCAATTCGTTACGAAGTACCAAAGCGGGAATAGTTACATAAAAGTTCCCATAAAAGTTTCTCTTCAGTAATGGATTCCTTTCTATTCCAAGAAATTAAATAGCTTTCCGAATTTTGGTCAGTTCTTGAAGCAAATTACAATATTTCATTTTAGTATCCCGAATACGAATCTTCTTCTCGTTTCGGCCAGCTCACTTCCCTGTCGAAAATGTGAGAAAGAAAAAGCTTTCAAGGAATTGGTGTCCCACACGCCTATTGAGAAAGTCAGATACCAGCTGTGCGACTATGAAGACATAGCACTTAAGAAGAGACCAGACGGAGACTGGAAATGCCCCAAAATACCCCAGCAAGAAGATCATTGTCTATCCGGATTTGTACAAGGCTCCATGTTATTAATAATAACCAACTTGCTATTAGCATTCTTACTCATCAATTAGACGGCAAAAAGTGTCATCGACAGCAGAATTGCCATAAAAGTTGCCTTATTTTATAACTTTGATCATGCACTTTTTGTAGACGCTTCTATTTTTCTAGTTGACTCCAAAAAAATTTTTTAATGAAAATTTACTTTTCAGAGGATGACAAATTGTGATACATTGAAATTGCAAGTTAATTTTAAAATTTCCCTCATGATTCAAGTAAAACATTTGTCATGAATAAAGGTATTTTAGTGTGTCATAATTGCGTGTTTCTTTCTTCCAAAATCTTACAACCCGGCAGTAATGTTTAGGGCTCAACAAAAAAAAAAACACAAAGCCGAATCGAAGTTTTGCACTACTTGCAATACAACACGGACATTATGGCAAGCTAGCCGGCATATAATGTATCGACACCCGCAAAGTCCTAAGTTCTATGAAAAAAATGTCGATAAAGACTCATCAATTTCATGCGTTTCTCTTGTTTTGTATATTTTCATTTTTACCGCTAACGAGACAGACAGACAATTACTAGTATTGATTAGCATCAAAACCAAGTTTACGCAGCGGTAACTAAGCCAACAATATTTCAGCAGAAATCAAGTCGGCCGAAAAAATATTGTCCTAAAAAATTTGAGCGATTAACAATTTTTGTTTAATTTTGGACCCGAACATCTATTCGATTGTCGGGTAAACACTACCTCCTTTATCACAACGAGCATACGGGAGAACCCTGATGAAGCTGCCAAACATCTCCAGCTTAATAATTAACGACACATCGGGAGTTTTTCTGGGTTCTCCCTACTAAAAACTGTACGCTTAGGCCAGACATGGAGTTTCACGCAGTTCTCCGCACGCCGAAAAAACTGGCCACTGGAAGGGCATAGTTTCACCAAATACAAACCTTTTTCTTAGGTGTGATATACAGAGAGGATTTGTCGGCATCGGCACGAAGATGCTATCACTGGAAATGGTGGTACCCTTTCTACGTCGGTTTTACCGCTAGAGACCCGGGGGAACTGCAGTGATCTCTCACACATAATTGATCTCTCCGTTTCAATCAGAGGTTCAAAGTAGAGATAAATGTAGCTACAAAAACAACTGAGCCGATATATTAAAACCCGAAAAAAAAGGAAAAACACCTGAAATAGACCAAGTCGGTGGCAAATTCACAATCAGTCTAAGAAATACATTTTCAAAATAAGTCGAAAATGCTCAAAATGTCTGTTGACACAACCACAGAATGACCAAATCAATTAAGTGATTTTGTTAAAAGAGTTGTGAATCTTAAAAAGTCTTATGTTCCTATTTAATAACACACTTCCCATATAGAATGCCGTTTTGTGGTAACAATTTGAAAAATAGCTCCAAGAATATGATAAAAATCACTTGCATAGCTTGTAAAATCAGAATGCCGGATAACTCCTTTTTTATCCAATCCCCTGGCTGCAATGTGTTGATTTAAAATTGGGTAGCCGAAAACTAAGACCGTTTTTTTCTCCACACTGAAAGAGTTTTTAAAATCCAAGGCACGACTAAAATGGGAGTAAGGGAGAATATGCTCAGCACCTAAAAACTCACTGAAAAATCCTACTCATAAGGCCATCAAAGCTTGGCACTCTCTTCAGATTGGTCGGACAATTATCGTACAAGTTGATGGTGGGTAGTAAGAAGTCTTCTCGGTGCTGAGAAAAAAATTATCTGAACTTTCACTCTTTCAACTGTTATTGAACCTGAAATTTCACTCAAGTTTCAATTCTAATAATTAATCACTGGCCCTTGCTATGTTTTAACACTTTCTGATCTGAAAATTGATCTAAGATTATTACGGGTTATAAAAACCTATCATTTTTGAAAAGACTAAAAAACTACTCTAATAATATGGGCCAAGTTTTTATATGAAATTCAACTTTCTGTGCTTACAGAGGACAACATGCTTTATTGCACATATGAGGTAGAAATATGCAAAATCATATTCGAAAAACGATTTTTTACAAAAATGAAGTTTATCAAAAACTTAAAAAGCTTGGGTAGTGAACAGAAACAAAGTTTCTTCAGACGTTAAAAGCTCCTACATCAGACTATGTTTATAGTGGAAAGCATGAAAGTTTTTCAGCCTGATAGCAATTTTTTCACAGACATCAAACCAAACTAGCTTGAAACGAACCTCCGTTGCTTCGAATTTTTTCGACAACTCATGAAAAACCGCATATATTGGAGCCAAGATCTGCAACCTTTTAGTGTATTCTAACTGCACCCAATTACAGGGTTGGCAATTTCCAAGTTTATTTAGAAAAACTTTAATTCCAATTTTGAAAAACCATAAAAGCGTCCCCTCGAAAACTAAATGGGCCTCTGGAAAAAATTGGAGACCAGATTTCCAACTACTGAGAGTCCATGATAAAATCATAATAAAAGTCACATCTCGGAAACTAAAAGGATTTTGAGGGGAAGCTCTTTTAGAAATTTTGAAAAAATCAAAAGTATGTCACATATCGTAAAAATAAATATTTTTACAAACTTAAAGCATTTGAGCAGTTGCATTTTGCAAGATTTGTAGCTCCTGAGAGTAACCTGACAGCACTCAACTACAGGGTCGGGACTTTCAAATTTTGAAATAAAAAAATTAATTTGTTTTCTGAAAAAATCACAAAAAACGTCATATCACGAAAACTACAAAGATTTGAGCAGTCATATGTGAAGGCAAGATTGGCAACCCCTGAGAGTAACCTGAAAGCATCCAACTACAGGGTAAGGAATGTTTTATTTGAAAAAATTAATTTAATTTTTTTGAAAAAATCACAAAAAACGTAATATCTCAATAACTACAAAGATTTGAGCAATCACAATTAACGGCAAGGCTCGCAACCCCTGAGAGTAATCTGATAGCCTCCAAATACAGGCTTGAGAATTTCAAATTTTGAAAAAAACTTCGTTTAAGTTTTGTAAAAACTTTTTTGAAAAAATCACAAAAAACGGTATATCTCAAAAAGTACAAGAATTTGAGCATTCATATTTGGAGGCAATATTCGCAACCCCTGAAGCTACCCTGACAGCATCCAACTACAGGGTAAAGAATTTTTAATTTTGAAAAAAAAGTAAAATTATTTTTTTTGAAAATTTGTTGAAAAAAATCACAAAAACGTCATATCAAGAAAACTAGAAGAATTTGAGCAGTCATATTTGAAGTCAAGATTGGCAACCCCTGAGAGTACCCTGACAGCATCCAACTACAGGGTAAAGAATTTTTCTTTATGAAAAAAAATATAAATTTATTTTTTTTTGAAAATTTGTTGAAAAAAAAATACAAAAAACGTATTATCTCGAAAACTACAAGGATTTGAGCAGTCATAATTAGAAACAAGGCTCGCACGCAACTCCTCTTGAGAGTACTCTGATAGCCCCCAAACACAGGGTAAAGAATTTCAAAATTTGAAAACATAAATTTCGTTTAATTTTTTAACAAATTTTTGAAAAAATCACAATAAACGTCATATCTCGAAAACTACAAGGATTTGAGCCGTCACACTTGGCGGCAAGATTCGCAATCCTTGAGAGTACTCTGACAGCAACTAACAACAGGGTTAGGGGACGTTTGGTAAATAATGTTGGAATTTAAATTTTCTGAAAATCTTTGAAAAAAATCACGAAAATCATCGTATCTCTTACACTATAAGGATTTGAGTTTTCTTAAATGGAGGTCAAATTCGCAACCTTTTGGGAAATCCTGACAGCATCCCACTAATGGGCTGCTAATTTTAAACTCGGTGGAATAACTACTGAATTCAAACTGGAAAACCGAAAAAATCTTAACCATTGCAATATGCGATATAGCTTAAGCATTCAAAAATATTACGTTGAAAAAGCTTAAACGTGGCGAGATAGTGGAGCCCGCATTTAAATATATAATAGATATGGTCCGAACTTTTAGCAAATCAACGTTACCTTCAACGTTACTTTCAATTTTGTTACCGCCCTATTAAAGGTTGACCCAATCGACCCCAGAGATTAGATCTAATGAAACAAAATATTGTCAGGTAAAAACACCTTGTCATTAAAATTTGTGACTCCAACACACCACTTAAGCTTGTTATGCAAAAAAACTAAAAAACAGGAAAAAAAATTATTGACAAAAAAAGTAATCATAAACGAAACCACCTTCAGAAGGCTTCCGAGCACTAAATGTCAGAAAAAGTAGCTATTGAGAATAACACACTCACTTCGACAATACACCAATTGCCTCTTGAAACTATCTGTTTTCTCATCGAGCTCTAAGCGAATTGTAATTCAGACCAATATCAAATTTTGAGAAGGAAGCACAGAGGTCGAGATAGCACTTCCAGCGCGATTTCGCGAACCTCAAAACATTCGTGTGGGATCGAAAAAGCACACATATTAAAATATTCTCATTCTTCGATTCCAAGGATAATTCAAAAAAATCCTTTTTTTAGGTCGAACAAATCGATTTTCCGAGCTCTCACAAATCACTAAGAAGACCCTGCTTTGGTCAAAAAAATTTGACACAAAAACAGTGTTTTTTTTGGGGCGCACTCCACCTCAAAATTAGTATATATTGGCGCCAAAGGCGCCTTTAGAAAATTTTTAGGGTCAGTCGCCAAACATGGATGTCTCAAAATAGTACAAAGAGGGGACCTTTTAAGTCGGCAGGGGGTCGAATCCCTGAGAGGGAGACGTCTGCCCCCCGCCCCTGGCTCAAAACCCCAAATTTTTTCCTCAGAAGAGATGATACAAAAAATCAAGTAAGACGGAGTGATCACCATCTAACTTTACTGTTTTTTTTTCACAAAAAAACAACGCGATAATTCTCTCACTCTTGAAGCCTGAATTTAATCCCTTTACCCAGAGGAAAAAAACGTTACGCCATTGCCAACTGAAGGGTGATTGTATTCAAGGATTTTTATTTAAATTTTCAAATTCAAAGTACAAATTTAAAAAAAATACCATACAAGGATAGCCGGTTGCTGTGTAAGTAGCACAGAATGTTCCGACCACATTCGTAAAAAACTTCTACAAACTACATTCTTAAGCTTTTCATCGGCTATTTTCCGCTTTTTGTGCGTAGTCTGATAATAAAACGCGTAGAAAATTAGGCATAAATGACATTTGTTTAAAAAAAAAACTTTTTGCCTTAAATTTATTTAAAATTTTCATCGCCACGGAAGCTTCTAAAACTAATTTTCCTTTAATTAAAATCAATTTTTTCGCCTAAATGGTCAATTTTCATATGTAAAGTACGGTACTCGATCGCATTATTTGTTTGAAATCGAACAAGAACTCAAAAATTTTAGAAAAAATTAAACCAGTTTTTCTCAAAACTTTTACAAGTTGAATTTTTTCAATGACATTCGAATCAAAATATTCTAAAATATACCTTGAAAGTAAATTTTTTCGCACCATATGCATTTATTCAAAATTGCCATCCATTTAGCAGAAGATTTGAAAGGAACTTAAAAAGTCAAATAGCTGAACATTTGGCGGTGATCTAATTTCAAAGTTTTCTGAAAAAAGAAAAAGCCACACGATTTAAATAAGACAAAACTCACTGCCTTTAGAAGCACTTAAAAGACTGCAATTTTTTCCTGCTGCAATTGTTTCCGAGCTACATAGTTGTGCACTCAAAATATTTCAATATTTGACTTTTTATTTCAAGTTTTTTGGTTTCGTATGATGCATGGACACATCTTATCCAATGCATTTCTTTCTCGCGTACTTGGATATTTCTGTAAAAACAAACCAAAACAGAAAATTCCATTTAAAAACTGCAGAAACAAGCCCATTTTTTTTTACAAACTAATTCAAAACTACAGTCAGAAAAACAAGACAACCAATAGAACAAAAATTAGGTATTTCGAAAAAGTCACTAAAAAGTTCAGATTTCAGTTCTCAGCTATAATAGATATAATAGATATGGTCCGAACTTTTAGCAAATCAACGTTACTTTCAATTTTGTTACCGCCCTAATAAAGGTTGACCCAATCGACCCCAGAGATCAGATCTAATGAAACAAAATATTGTCAGGTAAAAACACCTTTTCATCAAAATTTGTGACTCCAACAGACCACTTAAGCTTGTTATACGAAAAGACTAAAAAACAGGAAAAAAAATTATTGACAAAAAAAGTAATCATAAACGAAACCACCTTCAGAAGGCTTCCGAGCACTAAATGTCAGAAAAAGTAGCTATTGAGAATAACACACTCACTTCGACAATACACCAATCAATACACCAATTGCCTCTTGAAACTATCTGTTTTCTCATCGAGCTCTAAGCGAATTGTAATTCAGACCAATATCAAATTTTGAGAAGGAAGCACAGAGGTCGAGATAGCACTTACAGCGCGATTTCGCGAACCTCAAAACATTCGTGTGGGATCGAAAAAGCACACATATTAAAATCTTCTCATTCTTCGATTCCAAGGATAATTCAAAAAAATCCTTTTTTAGGTCGAACAAATCGATTTTCCGAGCTCTCACAAATCACTAAGAAGACCCTGCTTTGGTCAAAAAAAATTTGACACAAAAACAGTGTTTTTTTTGGCGCGCACTCCACCTCAAAATTAGTATATATTGGCGCCAAAGGCGCCTTTAGAAAATTTTTAGGGTCAGTCGCCAAACATGGATGTCTCAAAATAGTACAAAGAGGGGACCTTTTAAGTCGGCAGGGGGTCGAATCCCTGAGGGGGAGACGTCTGCCCCCCGCCCCTGGCTCAAAACCCCAAATTTTTTCCTCAGAAGAGATGATACAAAAAATCAAGTAAGACGGAGTGATCACCATCTAACTTTACTGTTTTTTTTTCACACAAAAACAACGCGATAATTCTCTCACTCTTGAACCCTGAATTTAATCCCTTTACCCAGAGGAAGAAAACGTTACGCCATTGCCAACTGAAGGGTGATTGTATTCAAGGATTTTTATTTAAATTTCCAAATTCAAAGTACAGAGGTGAAGCTGCGATTCGCAAACAAGCAAAAAACGCAGAGAATTAACTTTTAAAGGCTAAAGAAGAGACAAAAAACTGAGTTTTGAAAAACAAAAAATCTCTACCAAAATTGAACCTCAGTTCTCTGACATTCAAGTTTTCGAGATGACTACCCTGAAAAAATTGTGCCACTGACGCTTATAGAAACCAAAAGAAAAGAGAGAAAGCGAAAAAAGGGATCTTCAAGGTGTACAAATACATAAATTTTGCAAGTAAAAACTAGGAATGTAAATAACTACAGGTACCCACATTATTTTACCATGAAAAATTTGGTAAGTATGAACCCAACTGAGTATGAAATTGTCTTTTCAAAAATTTCGCAAATTAAACTGACTTCAAAAAATTCTGAGTTAGAGTTTTCTACAGAGGCGAAGCTTCGCTTCAAAAAAACTAGCGAGAACACCACAAAAAGCAGCTCTTCAAAGTGCAATCAGAAAAGTAGAAATAAGCCTCAAATTAGTAAAAACGCTGTTATGTCTCCAATTCAATCTACGACCTTCTGTGTTTTAGAGATTAAGAGTCTCACGCACTAAGCACTCAGCCACGAAAGCTTAATACGTCACAAACACTAGCCACAAATAAAGCAGAGAACAGATGCTATGAAATTTCCGATGCTAGATGATGATTATTGCAAAAGTGAACTTTCCACATTTAATGAACATTTTTATTTGTGAGTTAGTTTGGAAAAAAAGGTTCGTACTGAAACACTAGCTGTTCGCTATTGGAAAGTTGTATGAAACAATTAGCTTTCTTCGGTTCTTATGATAAATTATTACTAAGCAAAATAGCACTATGTATATTTTTCCATTCCACAGAGATATAAATCAACTTTTGAAACTGTTAGTCAATCATTTTTTTTCGCGCCATTTGTTATTGGAGAGCGTAATTTACCTGCCGTTAATCAAATGAGTTGACAGCGAAATTAAAAAAAAATACCATACAAGGATAGCTGGTTGCTGTGTAAGTAGCACAGAATGTTCCGACCACATTCGTAAAAAACTTCTACAAACTACATTCTTAAGCTTTTCATCGGCTATTTGCCGCTTTTTGTGCGTAGTCTGATAATAAAACGCGTAGAAAATTAGGCATAAACGACATTTGTTTTTAAAAAAACTTTTTGCCTTAAATTTATTTAAAATTTTCATTGCCACGGAAGCTTCTAAAACTAATTTTCCTTTAATTAAAATCAATTTTTTCGCCTAAATGGTCAATTTTCATATGTAAAGTACAGTACTCGATCGCATTATTTGTTTGAAATCGAACAAGAACTCAAAAATTTTAGAAAAAAATTAAACCAGTTTTTCTCAAAACTTTTACAAGTTGAATTTTTTCAATGACATTCGAATCAAAATAATCTAAAATATACCTTAAAAGTCAATTTTTTCGCACCATATGCATTTATTCAAAATTGTTATCCATTTAGCAGAAGATTTGAAAGGAACTTAAAAAGTCAAATAGCTGAACATTTGGCGGTGATCTAATTTCAAAGTTTTCTGAAAAAAGAAAAAGCCACACGATTTAAATAAGACAAAACTCACTGCCTTTAGAAGCACTTAAAAGACTGCAATTTTTTCCTGCTGCAATTGTTTCCGAGCTACATAGTTGTGCACTCAAAATATTTCAATATTTGACTTTTAATTTCAAGTTTTTTGGTTTCGTATGATGCATGGACACATCTTATCCAATGCATTTCTTTCTCGCGTACTTGGATATTTCTGTAAAAACAAACCAAAACAGAAAATTCCATTTAAAACCTGCAGAAACAAGCCCATTTTTTTAACAAACTAATTCAAAACTACAGTCAGAAAAACAAGACAACCAATAGAACAAAAATTAGGTATTTCGAAAAAGTCACTTAAAAGTTCAATTTCAGTTCTAAGCTTCGAATGGCTGTTCACTTTGTCGCTTTTTCATCACTATCACTCTCCGTTATCCTGTCCAATTTCGGTTGCTTCCAAATAAACATCAATTATGTCACCGGATTCCATGTCCAAACTTGCAGGAGTTTCATTCACATCAACTAAGTCCCCATCAAAGTAGTACTTGGCGTTTTCAAAATTAAGCACATCTTTCTGACTCGATTCAAACTTATTGATAGTCTTCGAAAAAGGATCACTAGGTTCCGAGTAAAACTGAAACTTCTGCTTGTCGCTTAGCTTGAAAGTTATAATCAGTTTTCCGTAAAATTCTGCAAGATTATCAGAACCACTTTCCTCTTTCTGCAAGCAATGACAATTTAAAACTGACATAGGCTGAAATCCTAGCTTATTCACACTTTTGGCATGCTTTTCGAGAGGTAGCAAATTTATATCGGGGGCGTTCGGGTCTCCGCCAGTTGTGTAAACCCTCGGTGGCGTAGGAAAATCAAAGCCCGTTAGAACTAACAAATCTTGTAGCTTTTCCGATCCCGTTACTGAAAGCGTCTTTTTCTGTTGTCCAAACTTGAAAAATAATTTAAACCGCTTTTCCTCGTCATATAAAATATCAGGTATTGCTGGTAAAATGATTGATGGATCTGAGCTATTTCTTATAATTGGTGTTAACTCAGAATTAACTTCTTCAAAAACTTCAAAATTTTCAGGGTTCATTTCTTTGAAGCGAGCTTTTTTCCGGATAATTTCTAATTTCTTTTCCTCGTCTGAATCTAACACAACAGCTGCATTTTCGCATTTAACTCTTTTCGACGGAAAGCACTCGTCGCCATCACTTCCAGCATTGACAGCGCAAAAGTCACTTTCGCTGTTTTCGTTTGATTTACTTCGATTTTCGGTCAAGAACTTCGCAACTTCGACAGCAGTGATCGGTTTTTCAGTTTTCTTTTCAAAATTCATAGACTTCGTTCGTAACGACGAGTATATAGCACAGTCATCATCACTGCTGTTTTCTTTGCTAGCAGGATTGTTTCCAGTTAAAGAGGGATTCAAAATTTTCTTTCTTTGACGTCTTCGTTTAGGTCGGAGGGATTCCGCATCTTCTGAACTACTAGAGCTATCGCCCATCTGAAAAACAGCCAGATATTTGTAGACTCTGCTAGCTTGAGGATATTGTCCCGGAGTACAAATTATTAGTAGTTCTCATATGAGGGTCGACTAATGACTAATATACGTAGAAGTGCACTGTATTGAAGCATAGAAATGAACAATTTGAAACAAAGAAACCCCACAGAATTGTGAGAAACAGCCTTTAAAAATACCTAAGAGCAAACTCGAAGATCTATCAACTAACGCCTCAGACAACATGAAGAGGTGTCTAAATAAAGAAAGAAAGAATGATGAAGCAAAAGAGATCATCTGAACACGCATTTGAAAAAAATGAACCAAAAATAAGACGTGAACAAAAAAATTGCCAACTTGAACCTATATTGACCAATTTGTAACAATTTCTTTTCAACTCGAAAATATCACATCGATAATATTTCCTTGAAAAGTAAACGTCTAAAAAACATTTCACAGAGCAACCAGTGATTCTCATTCATGGCTCCTTCAACAAAACTCAGTAAATTAAAGTTTAAATTCAAAAGAGTAGCAATAAACTTACGAAACAAGAATAAACTAATGCACAAATACTTCCTAGACTTTTTTTAGATTGAGTTTCATGATCAGTTGTTTTTGGCGTTCATTTCTGCCTCAATAATGCACTCTCTCACTATGGACCTGGCCAGCACGATACCTGAAACAACAATGAGAACATTTAAATCTCGATAGCTCACGAAGATCAAATCAAGTAAATATGTTTGAAAAACCAATTCTAAGCTCCTCTTTTACGCAGGAATTGAAGAGGTCATTGATCAAAACTATTCTCTGTTTCATATTTTTCCAGAAGCACATACTTGACATGATTAAATAATTATCATTTGATGGCTAAAATTTAAAATTTAATGCCCGAAATTTTAGAATTCCATAAGAGTTGAAAAATCGGGACTATCGATCAAAACATTTTCCTGAGAAAATTGAATATCTCCCAAACTAAATCATGAACCGACTCGAAAGTTCTGCAAAATTGGAGCCAATTGAAAACTGAATGAAAGTTTACCTTTCTTCAGACGTTCCTGTGCACTGCGACTGCCTGCATACGAGGGCCTGATGTCTCTGCCTAGATCATCGATCACGGCCAACAACTGAAATAATAAAAAACACTTGAATTGCTATTTTTTATTTCCAGCCCATTCCTCTCATCAAATATTGACAACAAGCAGACTCTAATTTCACCAAAGAAGCAAACATCATGTCAAGACGGTTAGCCGGTCCAGACATTTTTGATCACATTTTTGTTCCGACCATTGCAAATGGGGAGGAACTTTGTATTTGGGTGTGTTGAAGTTATTCTTATTTTTTTTTGTTTTCCAAGCAAAATCAGGTACCAGAAATAAATATCTGAATGGGTTGAGTGATATAACATCTTGAACCCCTTTCAGTCGAGATGCGAAGTTTTCAAAAAGATGACCCAGTGTCGAGAAAAATCAGTTTGAAGTTTTTGACTTTCAGATTAATTTCAAGCGGTTAAAGCCAACAAGTTGAGCGATTATAACGTTCGTTAAATTGCTTTTTTAGGCTAACAAATGTTTTTTTTATATGTCTAAAAATAAAAAATAATATCTAAAACAAAAACTATTGCAAAAAAAAGTGAAAATTAGAATTTTGCTGAATGTGCGTCGCTCAATTTGCACCAGTAGAGACATTTGTTTTATACCTTCATAAAAGTGTCGAAACCTAGTTCAAAAATGTGAACAGTCAATCCGTTAAACATGCGTAACGGTGGCGGGTAAGGTAACAAAAGCCCCCTTAAACGTTTTGAAAACCGGGGTTTTATTTATACGCCTGAAAGAAACTAGCCAACAGAACTGTGCTTCTTGCAAGGAACACGTCGAAAACACTCGGCATCATGAAGCACTCCAAGCTGTGCAGTTCTTCGAAGGCATACATCTGAAAATCTCAAAAGATGAGAGTTGCGTGCGTCAACATGATAACACCGGAAATGGTTCAATTCAAGATCAACCCAGATTTCATAACCAAAACAGCAACACAACAATCTAGATGAAAAAAGAAAAGCCAGATGAAAGATCTCCGTGACTGACACACAAAAGTTTAGTCAGGTCTTAAATGCAGAACTAGAGTACGCCGTCCATGTTATCACGCCAACTCTCTCCGAAGGCAACGCTAAAAGAGTACCAAATGGCCGCTCAGAACAGTGCCTTCAGAACAATTACGGGTTAACGCAGTCTTACACATAGACCACCTACAATATTAAACAGTCTCTTTCTCAGTTCGAAGACACCTACGATTTCGCACCTCCTACGACATCGCCACACAAGCCACTTACCTGGACCAACATGGGAATCACTGCACGAAAGAGCCCAACACACCCCCAGACTCAAGAAAATAACTCTTTTAAAACGCTACAGATGCTCAAAGCCTTTCAACGTCAGCGAAACCCTGGACAAAAAAAAACAAAAACCCCTGAAAACAATACAGAAACGAAGTTTTAGGCTCTTTTCCAGTCAGTTTCCCATCTCCCAAGGAATGACATAATAAAAAGCTCTCTAAAAATTGTTATTATGATAATTAGCAAGTAAGAAATGTTGTAATACTTGGTTCGGTAGTTCATTATGCCTGGTTTTATTACAGTTCAGAACATCAAAAGCCAATTTATATAAGGTTTTCGTAAATCTAATTACAGAAAAAACAAAGAGGTGAACTGGATGTAGGCCCTCCTCGCATGCGAAAACGCAATGCCAGTCCTGCAAAACATAGAATCGAACAATTTCTACGGATATACAAAAACTGCCGAGCAGCACAACGAGTAGGCACAACGTCGCCGAGTGGGGCACAGCAAGCGTCTGTAATCACGAGGGTCGTGCGTTCAAATCCCACTTCCGTCACGGTTAGAGAGTCGCAAAGTCATCCGCCTGCTCAATGTAGGACCGGCTACGGCACAATGAATGACACCCACCCTCCCCCACGGTTGGTCCTGCATTGAGCAGAACCGGGGGCAATAGAAGAGCAGCACAACGAGAACCCTTGCTTCACTTCGAACCGAGCACTCGAAGTTTCTGAACTCAAGTAGACACAGAATTGACAACTCTATATCAAAAACTGGTCCTGAATGGAACACAGCATTTCATCAACTACACCTCTAACTCAATCACCATAGCACCAAATGGTTCATGGAAGCAACCGACCCTCTTCCGAGTCATTAAAGACAATCATGCAAACACCTACGGGCAACATCAACGGCAAATTCGAAAAAACTAGAAAATATTTTTAAAATCAGAAAACAAAAGTGGGTGTACCCGATTTTTTGAAATCAAATAGATAGCCAATATGATGGAACCTTAAGCTTCATCGTCAATGCCGTTATGCACACTTTTTAGGATTGTATAAAAATACTGCTGAAAAGAAGCACAATAAAAGTACCTGTCCATATTTATTCTGCGGCGTGGACGAAGACAGTCTGTATTGAGGCACTGAGGCCGAAGTTGCAGAAAGTGCAGCAGCTGCTGCAGCCGTGTTGTTCACGGCGACTGAGGGCACATTGAACCCTTGTTGATGTTGTTGCGCTGGTTGAGATGCACCACTTACTGTTAACATAGTTAATGACAAATTTGTTTTCACTACTCAATTGTGTTTTTCCTCTTTAAAGCAAGAAAATTAAATAAGTGTCTAAATGGGTAAAACTGCCTCTACAACTGTAGAACAAGAATTTTCCAGTTAGAAATAACATATGTTGATGCATCTTGAAAACTTAGTCAATGTCTTTGCTGAGTTGAAGGTCATCTTATTCTGTATATATTCATTAAAAAACGATAATGCCAAAAATTGCTATCAACTATATACTTTGGGTCTGATTCTGATGACTGGTGTGTAACTGCGCCTGTTGCTGTTGACCTCCTGAATGTCTGACCTGACCTTGAACTCTGTTCGAATTGGTTACACTGTTCATGTTTGCTATCTGCAACTGCTGTGCTTGTTGTTGTTGTGCTTGTAACTGTCGAAGCATCAATTGCTGCTGTAATTGCTGTTGTTGAATAATGACTTCACTAATTCCTGCCGACACTGAAAAAATTAGACGACTCTAATCTTCCGACACAAATAGAACGATAAATCAACCAAAATACTATTCTGACCAAAACTAAAACAACTAATCAAACAAATTATTCCGTCCCAAATTAAACTAACTGATCGATCAAAATATTCCTTAAGACGCAAAGCTTGCCATTCGTTATTGATTTGCAGTACAATATATTTATCAGTCAGTTCACTTTGTTTATTTGAACTTTAGATATAATTACTTACCACTGGTTGGTATTGAAAGTCCCGAAGAACCCGAATTACTAGCCATAACCAACTCTAAAACGAGCATTAACTTTTAAAGACATCCTGAATTTTGGTTCAGCCAATTATCCAAGCGTGTTACTCGTTTGGAAGCGTGGTCTAGCCATTTTGAAAGAGTCCCATTTGAAAACCCGTTTAGAAGTGTGGTCCCGCAAGACCACTTGAAATTACTTCAAGTGGATGAAAACAACAAAAAAGCAAACAATTCTTCGTAAGATTTCTTTACAACGAAATCATCAAAAATTATCACTTCAATAGTAAAACTTAGAAACTATTTCAAACAACTTTTCTGTCCGGCTCTTTTACAAGACCATAGGTAGCTTCTCACGGCCATATTTCTGAACGAGGTTTTTAACAGGACCATACTTCTAAATGAGTATACCGAGCTTCTTCAAACAGTTTTTGCTCCGACCAAACATGGAGCTTTTTTTCGGGTGCTTGTTTATTTTTTTTGTTTTCGACGTAAAATCGGGTACCACAAATTATCATCGAACTGGGTTGAATGCTATATCATATTAAAGCCCTTTTAGTCGTGATTCGAACGTCATTAACAATTTTCAAAAAACTTCACCAATTTGAGAAAAACCGATTCGAAGTTTTCAATTTTTCGTCTAAATGCGAGCGAGCGAGTAGGCTTAAGTAAACAACGAAAATTACAATAGCTTATTTATGATTAAATTAAGCCGGAAAATTTTAGTTTTTTTTTGCCAGATAAAGGCAGCTTTTGGAGCTTGTTTAGCGCCATTTTGGTTCAAAAAAAACTAATAAGATTCTGCAAAAAAGTTTGTTTTGTTCAGATCCTTTTATCATACCACGCAGAAAAAAACGAGACTATTTTTTTTTAAATATTCCCTAATTAGCCTAATTGTTGTGATAAACTTATTAAATAGTTTCAGAGACGATAGATGATGGAAAACCAAATGCAGGAGAGCGAAATGCAGACAAATATTGTGGCGGAGACGCAAACTGAGAACAACGCGGAGGATCAAACAATAACGACCGAGGAGCAAACAATTCCAGTTTTGAGATACAAGGATCAGACGCCATTCACACCAGTCAGCGACAAAAAAATCGATCTAAGTCCACTCGACTCTATTATTGAAGGAGGAGATTTTTCAAGGACCATCTCAGACACCATTGAAGAAAAGATGAAAGCAATAATTCCCGAAATTGTTCAAAAAATAAAAGAAAGTTTGAAAACGACATTCGAGGAGATGCTCAACAAAGCCATAGGAGAAGCAAAACTGGAAGTAAAAAACGCAGTGAAAAAACAGATGGCGTGGCAAAGTCGAGAAATGACCCTCAAAGCTTTGTCCGAATCAGAAGTGATTGAAACATATATTAGAAGAGAAAACGTCCGGATAATGGGAATTCCAGAAAACGCCACAAACGACAATCGCCAAAATTGGGAATCAAGTGACGCCACTACAGTAAAGGTGATCGATATTGCAAGTAAAGTGGACAGCAACCTGGAAAAAAGCAATATCTCAATCGCCCATCGCCTTCCCACCCGATCACAAGGACCGAGACCTATTATTGCCCGATTCGCTAATAGGAGCTCAAGAATAGATCTTTTAAGAAGTAAGAAGAAATTCAAAGACATCGATGAACTGAAAAATGTACGAGTATTTGAGGATCTAACGCTGGCAAGAGTGAAGTTTTTTAATATGATGAAGACAGATACGAGAATTGAAAATGTATGGACAAGAGAGGGAACAAAAAACTACAAAATAGCTGGAGATTCAAGGGTGCAGACCATCAAGGGATTGTTTGAGGGAGGGTTGAAGTTGAAGTATCAATTAGCTGATCTAGAGCAATGCTTTGTAACTAACTAACAACCAGAATTGAAAAAAGCATGTGCTAAAATTGATACAATGCCAATTAGTGTGCTACTTATAAATGCTAGATCGTTAAAAAAACACAGCGAAGAATTAGAAGCGTTAGTATATAGTCTGGAGTCACCGCCTAATATAGTAGCTGTCACTGAAACATGGCTAGATAAAGAGGATGATGAAAAACTATATAGGTTAAGTGGATACAATGTTGTATCCAAGCCCAGGCCAACAAGAGGAGGAGGAATCTTGTTTCAATCACTAAAAGAAGTTGAAATAATTAAAGTTTTGGATTGTTCCATTGATGAAAGCCTTATGCTAGAACTGAAAATAAGAGGAAACAAGTAATTTTCTTGGTGATATACAACCCACCAAGGAATAACAAATTGGAGTTCATTGAAAAACTGGATGAAGTATTGGAGAGCTTGCAATACTTAAATTGTGAAGTCATTGTGTGTGGAGATATTAATATAGATATTCAGAAACATAATTCAGCAACAGCTAAATACATCGATGCAATAGAATCAAATGGATTCAGTCTTTTAAGTTTTTCACCCACAAGGGTTAAGAAAATTCAGAAACATGTTTAGATCATTTTATTACAAATGTAAGTGATTCAACTGTGAAAGTGTTAACTCATCAAAATTTTGCAGATCATTATCCGGTTATAATGAAATTCAATAAAGACAGTTCAGATAATGATAATGAAGCAATCCTGGTAAGAGATACGTCTTTTCTAAAGAGTGCGGAGAAGGTTCAAAATTTCAACTTCGTATTACTGCATGAAATGAACAATTTATCATTGAACGAAAATGAAAATGTAAATAAAACTTTTTCAAGGTTTCACAAAACGCTTATTAAAGTTTTGGACCAATTTGCCCCAATGATCAAAAAAATTAATAAAACCACCAAGTGTCCTCCGTGGATATCAAATAAAATTAAAAACCTCATCACTAAAAGAAATAAGCAGCATCATTTATTGGCGCAAAGTAAAAATAATCACTTGATTAAGCTTCGGTATAAGGAATTAAATGACAGAGTTAGATCAGAAATCAGAAGCTCTAAAAATTTTTATATGAAGAAATTTCAAACATGTATTGGTGACTCCAGACAAATATATAAATTTTTAAATATGTTAAAAGGATCGAATGGAAGTAATAGAGATGTCAGTGATATTATAAGTGAAAGTGGCGATAGGCATACAGATCCACAGACAATTGCAAACGACTTCAACAACTTTTTGGACAAATTGCAGATAAATTTGTGAAAGTTATCAACTCCCGAATTAGAAATAAGAATTAAGGAGCCAATTGTATCAATATACCTAAAACCAGTTAATGAAAACAAAATTGCCTCAATTCTATCCGATTTAAAATCAAAAGCCTCCGTAGGGCTAGATGATGTTAGTAATAATATTCTGAAAGCATGTTCGCATGCAATTATACCAAGCTTAACAATACTGATCAATGCTTCCATTAAGCAGGCAATCTTTCCCACCGAGTTATCCCAAGCAAAAATACTGCCATTTCACAAGGATGGATCCAAATTAGATTTAAACAATTATAGGCCAATTGCTTTGCTTTAGATGCTAGGTAAAATTTTCGAACATGTGATGTTCAACCGAATATATAATTATTTAGAGCAATTTAACTTCATATACTGTAAACAGCTTGGATACAGAATCAAACACAACACCATTGATTCCATCGCCGAGGTTACCGAAAAAATGCGCCTTTCAAATAAGAAATTCATTCCATCAATATTCCTTGATTTAAAGAAGGCCTTTGATACCCTAAATCATGATATCTTAATTAAAAAAATTGCCATATTATGGTCTTGTAGGTAAATGTCTACAATGTATAGTGAGCTATTTGTCAAATCGTAAACAATGTGTAGAGATATCTGGTGTGCGATCAAATTTTCGAACAATGAACAGCGGTGTACCACAAGGATCCATTTTAGGTCCACTTCTCTTTCTTTTATATGTCAATGATCTACCAAACGTTGTCAATAACTCGGAAGTATACTTGTTTGCCAATGATACCACTTTAGTAGCAATAGATCGACCACTCGAAAAACTGAGTGATGACTTTAATGCAGTTGCGGAATGGCTTGCCGCTAATAGGCTCTCACTTAACATGAAAAAAAAACAGTTCAAATAAATTTCACTAGGAAAAGCGCTTCTAATGAAACAATATTATATGATGGCAAAAACTTATCGTCAGAAATATATTGGAAATACTTAGGTATAAACATTGATTTCAAACTAGGATTTTCTAATCATATTGATTTTGTCAGAAAAAAATTACGAAAACAATGTGGAATAATTGCTAAAACAAGGCATTACATGCCGAGCTCTGTTATGTTTAGGTATTATGAATCAAACATTAGGTCTATCATTCAGTATGGAATTTTAGTGTACGGTTGCACAAGCTAAAATGCATTACTTCCGCTTTTTGAATTACAGAAAAAAAATTATCCGACTCATTTCTTTTCGAAACAATTGCGAAAGCGTGTCAGATATATTTGTAAAGCACAAAATACTTACAGTTCATGCATTTTATATTTATGAGTGTTTCAAGTTTCTACTAGGGTCACTATCGAACCTGCATTCAAAGAATTATCTCAACTCGCTTTTTACTTTTGATAATTCTATTAAAACAACCAGACGATCGGAAAAGAATTTACTGAAAATATGTAAGCCAAAATCCCAAATAGAAAACCACTCTTTAACTAAACGGAGAACCAAACTTTTAAATATTTTTCAGGAAAACGGAATTATACCAATTAATTCGCAGTCTCTAAATGCAAGCCAGGTGCTTACGGTAGCTCACAAATTAAAGTATTTATACATTTTAGGAAATAATGAGTTAACAAATTTTATTTTCGAAAAATAATCACACAATGTCTAATCAATAGTACCATATTTTTATTTACCAAATATTTTACCCTTTGGTCAACCTGTATCAGACTTCAATAATGGGCTGCGAATCCATGCTGAAAATGTGAAGCTCCAAATCCTTGTAGTTTTCGAGATAATCGCATTTTTTGAAAAAAAAAAATGAAATTTCCAAAATTACTTAGAAAAAAAAAATTCGAATTTTTATTACGATCCTTAGTTTTAACTGATGCTCACTAAGCTAAGCTGCAATCATGATCCGGATCCTCTAAATAAATTCTCGAAAAAAATGTTTTCGAAAGGAGTGGAAAAAAAAAT